GACCTTTGGGCGATAAAAAGAACCCACCTGCGCATCTCCTGTTATTTCCCACTTCCTCCTCTTTTGCATTTTCAGTTTTCCCTTTCCTGATTTCCCTATGTTTCCTTCTCTTCAATTCCTCCTCTTTATCCTTGACCACTTTTCTCCCTCTTTTCCTACGCCCTGACTCTGCCTAACGGGGACGGCAACGTGCGTATTTTACGGCATCTCCGACTTCCTCCTTTCGTTCACCCTCTTCTCGCCGTAGGTGGGGGCATGGCGGTCCCTGGCAATTTTTCTAGTCGCCCTCCCCCTTTTTGTTCAGCCGTCTACGAGACGTCGTCAATGATCGCATCTTCAGTTGCTCCGTAACCCGTTTGGAGATTCCTCCTCAAGGAAATACAGTCCCCCCTAGAGTCTCTGAGGCGGTCCGTTTTTCTTTCCTCCTCTTATTTTTTTTCTCAATTTCCCCCAATTTCCGGCGCCTTCTCTTTCTCCCATCCTCGATGTGCGTCTTCCCTTTCCTCCTCTTCTGTGGTTTACCTCCTCTTTTTGTCTTCCCCTTTTTACCTCTTCAAATTCCTCACTTACCTCCTCTTTTTCGCGCGGCGAGCCGCCCTCGGTTTCCTAATCCCTAGAAAACTGTCATTCTGACAAGGAGCATCGCTACCATGACTCCCTACAATTTTTCTCTGTTGTAGTTGCCGGTTCGACTCAGTTCCCCTGTACGCCTTCAGTGGCATTCGCCATTTCCGCGACTTTCCGTTTCGTTGCTGTCCGTTTTTTAGTTCCTCGATCGGAAGCCCATTCCCCTGTTCACATATCATGCCATAAAAAATAGGGCCATTTGCGGATCTTGGGGTGACAGGTGCGGCTTTTGATGCCCCTGGGGAGGTGAAGTTCTAGCCCTGGGGGTGTTTTGGGGGCGACTACCCCAATTGAGGTGGCATTGAAGGGTGACGTTCCTCATTCATCCAATTCCGAGGGTGACGTCGCCCTAAGAAAACGACATGTTGAAACATGCCGATCTTTGTCTGTGTCTATAGGGCGACATTGGATCGTTTTCTGAGATTGATGTGATTTCAGTTGGAAATATAGGGTGACTTCATATGCGAAACACCGGCAACTTCTACCCACTCTATCTACATACAATTACATACAGTATTTTCCATACCACGGAAGCATGTTTACCTAGTGTTTTCATCCCCATAAAGCTGTCTCAGTGCACAATCAGTAACAGTATGCGTCTCAGAACGACAAAGAGAGCAAGTATACTTCCTCTTTGATGGCGCAGGTCCGTTCTCATACCAGCTCTTCTTACGTTTTCCCGCGTTTTTCACTGGCCTCCCACGAGGAGGAGGGATAGCTTTGGGAGTTCTTAAGTTCTGACCAAAAGCTACTAACCGTTTCGCTTGTTTGATAACTTTGTCGACAGAGTATTGCGCCGGCATTGAGTAACACAAGCTGTAGTAATTCTCTTTCCATGCTTTCGTCAAATGTTGCCGCGCAACGTGCTTATACAAATTATTAGATCCGTACTTCTCACATATGACAGCCGTTCCGTGATAGCAAGGAAAACTGGAACCATCTCGTGAATGCATGCAGCATGAAGGGGGCGTGTTTGGCTCTGAACTCATGACTACATGCCTCAAACGCGTTCCGTCCACCACGCTTCGTACCGTCGCCTCCATTTGCCCCGTTCCCTCTACAAACCTAATAGACTCCTTATAAACTCTTGATCTCTGAATGAGTAGCGCAAGACGTTGTTCAATGTGAGGTGGTACGGGACTCTTGCAGTTCATTGCAGTTGCTTGCCGCTTCAAAAAGGCAGTTCGCTGTGTCGACACAACTTTCTCCAGCATCTTTTGAGGCTCCACTGTCCTGATGTGGTTTCGCAGGGCGGCGGACATACCACTTTCAGCTCCTTGAGATGTCGTGATTAGATCTTGCAACATCGAGCATGCTCTGTACAGCTCACTGTCATCAAACCTATTAAGGTAATCTGACATCTTCATCGGGAAGTCTTTTTTGGCTTGAATAACCTCATCCCTGCTTGGGTTTCGAAGCGCTTTATCGTACATGCGCACACCAACAACCTTTCCCGCACCCAGTGCTGTAGCGAGATTTTTTCGGACATGCAGTGGGTCCAGGAACAACTTCGCGTGCCGCATGCACCGCTTGTACGCTGAGTCGATAGATTTCTCCTGGTCGACAATTGTCGTCCTCGTAGGTACATCAAACCCTGGGATATCCGCGGCGGCAGCAAAAACTTTCTCCCACGTGTCCATTCCCTCAGCTCCCACGAAATGGGCGAACACCAAGGGGCAGAGTTGATGGTTAGTGTCGTATCCGAACACTTCAAATGTGGTTCCGTAAGAACGGCGGCCCAAACCCTCGCAATGAGCGGCATCCGCTGCGCATGTCATCCTGCCCTTTCTACAGAAAGCTTCTGCAACCATCGGGACGAATAGGAACCCGCCATAATATTTACCCTCATCCGCAATATCCGAGACGTCCACATCCTCTACATTAAACCCGGATTGTAGGGATCTTAGTTTTTCAGAGTATGAAAGTTTTTGCTGTTGTTTGTATATGAATCGTGCAGCCTTGATGCGCTGCGCCTTCATTTCCGTACCGGACAAGATGAAAATGTCCACCCTGTGCCCCAATTCCCTCAACAGATCAGAGTGTCCTTCCAGGGCAGCCATGTCAACGGCTCGAGCAGCTGAGATGTATCTGTTCAGCTCGCGCCTCACAGCGCGAATGTGTGAGTTTGCTGGTTGTCGACGATAAATTGACTTCGCCCTTAAAATGGACGCTAGGACGCTGGTGGGCATGTCAGGGTTCAAGGCGAACTCATCACGAAGCGCCCGTGCGGTCTGCTCAGCGGTATACGCCGGTCTAAATTGACAGGACTTTCTGTCGACTGACTGCCCATAGCACGTGCTATGGTTTTCGTGCTCTTGGAACCGATTCAACTTCCACAATCCCGATTTCGGTTGCCGATTAAAAGTGAGAGTTGCGGCACAATGCTTTCGTCGACAGTCCATACGCACCATTTCGAAGTTTTTCACCACATTCACTCCCTCCGGCACACCCAAATTCGCAGTATATGCTCGAATGAGCTGCTCGCAGCGCCATCTTCCGGAAAGCTGAATCCCAACCTCAGGGGTATACGGGACGCATCGCCGGGGAACCCACGTCATCTCTGCCACTCTATCCGCCGCTATTTCCGCCATTGCCTTCCGCTGACTTCTCTTTTTTCACGCTCTCTTTTGTTCCGCTCGCCGTTTCTTCTGTTCGTCTTCAGACAAAGTTCTGAGGTCAACTGGCAACACCCTTTCAGCCGCAGCTGCTGCATCACAAGCTTCTCCATTGCTGCTGGTGTCTTCAGGCGTGACGGCTATGTACGCTCCGAAATCAAAGTCATCGTCGTCAATACATTCCGGGCGAGGGGAACGAGAGGAATCTGCTTCATCTTCCATCGAACTTTCTTCTTCGGCATCAACATCCTCATCGTCCTCTTCCTCATCCGAGTTCACCCCGTCACCCCCCTCTCTATCCCAATCATCGTCAGGCGCCCCAACGAACTCCGCTTCCTCACCATCTGGGCCGTGACCCATTTTAGATTCAAACTCTCTACCCAGGACATCGGTCATAAAATCGGTTCCGTCAAACGAAGATGTATGGATCCTGGGGGAATTATTCCGAGCCCCTCCTTGGCTCCTTGATTCATGACGATCCCTTCGTTCCCTCCTCTGCCTCTCTTCTCGTTTCCGCGCCTCATTATCCATACGTGCTCGTTCCTGATAAGACATTCTCTTCTCTCTGCGCTCCCCAGCCATCCGTTCCCGCCTTTGCGTAATCGTCTCAGGCTTTTCCACCTGACATATGTCTTCGTCTTCCGTTTCCCATTCTTGTCTCATTTCCTTCTCCCTCCGCTGATGTCCCCATTCACTTTCCGCTGAGCCGTTTCTTTCTCTCTCTTCCTCCAATGCCTGCTCTTTTTCTCTCTCCGCTTCCTCCCTCTTCGCACGTACTCTCTCCTCCTCTAGACCCTGCTCCCTTTTACGTCTCAACTCCTGAGCTCTTTCTTCTTGCATCCTTTCTTCACGATTGCGACGCCCCTCCCTCTTTTCCCATTCTTCACTTTTTTCCGTTTCTTTGCTCCTATCCTCGCCTTTTTCCGCTTGAGAAGACATTTCCTCCTCCTCAGCCATGACCTTTCTTCGAATATTCTCCCTTTCCTCCCTTAACATGAGTTCGAGTAGTTTCTCCTTCGAGGTTGGAATGAGTGTAAAAAGTAGTGTTGCGGGAACCAAATTTGAAGCATCTTCCCCGTTTTCCATCTCATCAAAACGAATGTCTTTCTCAGCTTGTTCTTTTGCGCGAGTGAGCTTTTGCATAGCTTTATTCGCGGAGGAGCGATCCGACACACATCTGTCCGGATGAACAAGAAAAGAGAGCTTCTTGAAACGCTTTTGTATATTGCGCAAAGTGGGCTCGTCACTTTCGTCCGCCGTATCTCCGGGATGAGCGCAACAAAAGACGTCAATTAGGGGCGTTTCGTTGATGATGATTGTCCCAAAGTGATGCAGGGCCTTTCTGGCGTCTGGCAGAAAAGATCGCATTATCCCGCCAAAATATGGCAGAGAAAAAGGGGAAAGAACAGAGGGTGACAGTGAAAAGCGAGCTGCGGTGCGAGGGATACTTCCGGAGGATGGATTTTTGTGGGGTGACTCTCGGAGAAAGTGGTCGAGGCGCAGGCCGAGGCGCAGGGTATTTGACAAGAATATCTGCGCTGCGGACGCCCTACAAATGAGACACTCATGCCGGCCAGAAACACTGTTTCTGGAGGACCAGTAGTTTCATACGAATTGCTCAATTTTTGCAGATAATGCGCCATACATGCCATTTGTGCAATGTCCGAGTGTTTACCAGAGCTTTGAGGCCCACATTTACGTCACATATCGTTGTTGTTGTACACTAGTTTTGAGAGCTGCTCCGTAGCACGCTGATTATTGAGAAAACCCAAAGTTTACAGGGATACATGTTTTGTCACCCGTCCTATCTACTCGTACAAGTAGTCTCAATTTCACCGAAGCTCTCTCAACTTTTGTACTGAAGCGGTGGAATGGAGGGTATGAGGGGAAGAAGGGGTAGCGGATGGGTTGTTTGGACCGAGAAGTGAAAGCTCAAAACCTCCAATGATTACCGCAATGTACGCATGAGACAAAGGTCGTTAATGGTTCATGTGCGGACCGGGTCTGCATCTGGTAATAAGTACATTTTCTTTGCTTGCATTTTCCGCACTTGAACATATCAGTACTTGCCTCTTGCTTGCTAAACGGCATCGCATCTCTGGTCATCTTAGCACGAACTTCCTCCCGATTCTTTCGTAGCTCATGATGAGGGCGCAGGCGTCCGTTTCGCCGAGAATTCGTTCAGAGATGACAGGAGCGTTGGGGTGTTGGTCAATACAACTGCAACAGCGTTTGATCACATGAGCAATGTCCCAGTCGATGGGAGTGGTGGCCTACCAGTAGGTGACGGTACCGGGGTGTCGCCGTCCCAAGTATATGTGGACAGATAGACTTTCTTCCTTTTCCAAATTGTTCATCATAGATTGTGTAAATGGGAGCCTGTACAAGTCTGATACCATGCAAGTTTAACAGCTCCGATGTCTTGTTAAGCATGTGCATCCAAGCGATGGAGGACGCCGTTTGAGCGGAAGCAAGCGAGGAAGAGTTCCTCAATAATGTAAAGTCTCTTCACAGAACCCGTATATACATGTCATACGGTCAAGCCATATGAGCGATATCCACGGCGCATCAGCGAACGACGTGGAATTATCAGTTTCGCTGCAAATACAGTACTTCGTAGGGACAGGATAATGACGAGGACCGCTTGCCGAGAGATACAATGGCCACCTTCGACACCTGTTGATTGGCGGAATGCGTTCTGACCATGACACTAGGCCAATAGGAGTGATTCCCATATGGTGACCTTGCTGGACAATGAATGAGGATCCGGACTGCAGAGGGCAGGCTGTGATGTCCGCACAAGTATTTGGTTGTTCCAAGAACATTTTAATACGCAAACCAGGCAGCTACATTACTCATGAGTCCTGCACTGTCGTCGGAGTGAGCGCCACATCGCTAGATGAAAAAGGCTATGAAACAGTAACAGAAAGAATCGCTCCGGCTGCATTTCAGCCGCACCAGAGACAAGAAAGGGAAACCTACACTATCAACAATACGAGTGCACCACCTCTCCCATGATCCGCACGCCCAGCAATACGCCCGCCACCCTGTCGTCTCCGCCCACTCCTTCCCGCCGCAGCCCATGCACCCGACGGACCGCCGCCCGCCGCTACCCATCGACATCAAGCCGGTCCAGAAGCCCACCGCCACCTACGAGCTGGATGACTCCCCGCCCATCGAGCCGCACATCGTCATGCAGATGAGCGGCATCCCGTACGCAGACCTGTGCAAGGAAAAGGCCCGTGAGGCCTTCAAGGAGATGAAGAAGAACGAGCACATGGCCAAGGGCGAGTTTGACCGCATGAAGCGCCGAAAGAAGGGTGATACCTCGATGACGCCGCGTGAGAAGTACACACGCCGTCTGAAGATGAACCAGGACTCGGCCGCCGCCGCACGCTACGCGCAGGAAGTGTACGTGCACATGTTGGAAAAGCTCGTGAGGACGACTGAGGAGGAGAAGAAGGGCTTCATCCTTCAGGTGCAGCAATTGCAGCAGGAGAACGCAAAGCTCAAGGATAAGATGATGCAAATGTCGCAAATGAGACAAAGAACAAGGACGCTGAAAGCTTTGTCCAGGAACTCTGGTACACAAGTAGCATGACATGTACAGTGAAAATCACTACCGAGAGTACGACTGTGCCGAATGCCCACATTCCCAGCATCTGCCCACCGGCCTGCGGAATGTCACCGAAGCCCCAGAAGCAAACAAAGAACACTACAGCTGATTGCCATATTGCTGAGAGAATCCAGCTCAAAAAGACGCGAAAGTTGTACGCCGTGTTTCTTTGCCCCTTTGAATAGATTTCAGGGAAAGCAAGCGCATATTCGGCAGTCAATTCCTGATCGAATATACCGAGGACAAGGGGAGGAAGCGATGCCAAAAGCAAATTGTAAAGACCCCCCATCCAGGGATCCAAGAGAGGCTGACCTGAAAATGCTGAAAAGAATGCCCAATAGATCTCACAAAGAGTCAGCGCCGCATTTCGGTATATTGTGAACAAGACCATTTTTGAGAGCCGTTTGTAGCTCCATCTGCCATGGACTAGCATTAGACGCCCCAAGAAACGAAACTGACCAATAGAGTAGTCTGAGGCCAGTTTGGCCTCTTGCCCTTCCAAGCTCACAATTCCCACCCCCACATGGGCCGCTTGAATCATACCGACATCATTAGCGCCGTCTCCAATAGCCAAAGTAACTTTGTCCTTGTCAAGCCGGCGGAACAGCTCGACAATCTCAGTCTTTTGCTTCGGACTCACACGGCAAGCGATGACTGATCGAGCCATGTTTGTCACTACCATAAACCGTTTCTGGAGTTCCTCTTCGAGAGCGTAATGCAATGTTTGTCCGTCAATGACCAGGCCAAGCTTTCGTTCCATTGCTGGATCTGTACGCATGGCGCTCCACCTGCCGAGTGCCCGGTCAAGCTGCGCAGCTGTATCTTCGAGATTGTCCTCATTGATGATCACGACATCCATGCCTTCGTCAATGGCGCCGCATGACAACCCAATATTAATGGCTGTCTCTTGTTTGTCCCCGGTTAGTACCCATACCTTGATGCTGGCTTGTTCCAGCTTCTTTAAAGTCTCTGGAACACCATCTTGGAGTTTGTCTTCGATAGCAGTCGCACCCAGCAAGGTAAGATCACGTTCGAATTCGTCAACAACTGCAGCAACTTTTTCTTCACGATCGATTAACTCGGAGTTCGCGTGCCGATATCTTCGATGCCAATCTTGAAACCCATCGTCATCCAGATCTGCATACGCAAGACAAAGAGTGCGCAATCCTTCCACTGCGAATTCATGAAGATGCTGCTCAGTGACATCAGGTGACTGCCCTTCAGCCAGTCTCGCAAAAATGATGGCGTCTGCGCCCTTTTTGTAGATCCTTAGCTTGCCATCCAGATCTCGAGTTATCACGCTCATCCTCTTTCTCGTGGAATCAAACTCGATTGTTTCCACTAAATCATGTGTCTCGCTTCGTCCGAATACATCAATAACTGCATCACGATTAGACCTTGATAAATAAGTGAAGCCTAGAATACGTGCTGCACTCACTAGTGCCGCCTCCTCAGGAGATGACGCTTGATAACTGATCACTCCCGAATTGTTGTTCGACCCATTCAGAGAACTTAAATTTCGCTGATTCTCATCTGCTGCGCTAGCCCCTGCCATCGTTAAAGCCGATACAAGAGAGAAGGACTGGCGCGCCCTGTTTCGATTCCCTCCTCGCGACAGTAGCAACTTGTTCGGCAACGCGGTTCTTCCCTGCTTCCTCCGCCTGGCCGACCCTTCTCTCCCTCTCTTCCAACTTGCGCACCCACGCATGTAGCCTCCCCTGCTCGACGCCCGAGTACTTCAAGCTGGCGAAGAAGGAGCGGGAGGGGCGGGGGATGAACACGAGCAGCGTGAGGGCTTCTTGGAATTGACAGGGACTTTAACTAGCTCCCTCACCTCAGCCACGCGCAAATGTTTTGCTTCATTTCCGCCAAGGAGACGAAGCACATCTTCGGTTAATGCGAACGGATACCTTGAAGCGCTATCATGGACAATACCACGGTTGCAGTCCAGCGCAACGCAATGATCTACAATTCCGTGTTCCACTATTCGGACTATCCACACGCCTTGATAATGGTGCGCAAGCCACTTGAAAGGATTTGCATCGAACGCCTTCTTCACAGCTTTAGGAACTCGGCGCACTGATAGTTGAGCGGGAATTTGGTGAACCAGAGAAAAGAGTTGCTTGAGTGTTTTGATCTTCATCGGATGCTTCCGAAGGTACTTGTCGACGCTTGTTCCTCCTGTGGTACCATATAGCGCACAAGTGCCGTTGGACAGCGCAGCCGACACGCATGAATCGTCGTTGCTGCGCACGAGGTTCGGGCCATACTGGTGCACCTCAAACCTTCTTGATCCAGTGATTTGTCCGCGTGCCCCAATACCACCGATGAGTATCGGTACACCGCGATGGGCCATCATCCACGCATACAGTCGACGGAACATCTCTTGCAAAAACTTTTTCTTGCGCGGCAAGTCGTTGGTACCATCATCTATCGCGTTTAATAGAGCCTGCATCGTGTGAAGGGATAGTGTAATCGAATTGGCATCGATAGGCCAGAAACTTTCGTCACCGCCTGTCAATCCGGCGGCAGCGTACAAAACGCCGTCTTGCATTTTGTGGCCGCTTGCCCCTTGTCGGCCATCACCAATCATCACCCTGTCAATCGCCCAGCTCATGGTGTCCAAGAATACTAGGAATGTTGCACCTCCCCGGAGATCTGCACAAACTTCCGTTCTTAATGGACACGCGTGAGATGGGCGCCGGGCTCTTTGGTGCGGGTTCCGGGTCACTTGGAGACGCAGCCGCGGTGCACCGTGCTAGAGGCAGGGTGAGCAAGGCGATGAAGAAGACGGGTGAGGGCATTGCGGCGAGATGTGCGGGGGGGGAGCTGGGGAACGTAGACGCCGAAAAATGGCGGGTTCAGAAGGCAGAACGTACGCCGCGTGACCGCGCGTCACCGTATGCCACTGCAGTGGGCACTGGGCGGCCTCTATAGCCACACTATATTGTTTCAGTTTTGAGAGCGCTTTATCCAGCGCGAAACCGTGCGTTGGCGTGCTTTTATAGGGGTGACATTAAAACAATCATGCACTTCTAGGGCGACTTTTCTAACATTTAGGTCTCTGCCGAAATGCCACGATGGTATACGTTTTTATGCGGTGACATCCCCGAATATGAGTTTGTCGGAGGTGACTTTACGATCGGTTTTCTGTCACCCTAGAAAACGTGCATTGTCACCCCCTGAAAAGGACACCATGGACCAAAATCACCCTACTAGCAAAGCACTTTTTAGTAGTGTCGCCCTATAAAAAACCCCACCGCATTGAAATCGCCCCACGTAGATTTCACTTTGGCCGGGTGTCGCCCCAAAATCTACACTTTGACCCTAAAAAATATTGAACCGACGACGGAAGCTCCGCGGGGAAACCTCTGCTCTCCCGACTCCGGCGGTGTCAAGAACTCGGTTCATTCACACGTAGGTTCTACCGTCTCTCTCTTGGACATCATCCCATATGTGCAGACTCAAATTCGCGACGCGATAGGTGTGGAGACGTCAATGTCGTTGCCTGTGATCTCATTGTGTCCTGACGGCGATTCGTAACTAGTTGAGGTGGCGACGAGGGTTCCTCGTACACGTCCAGTCATACGTATTACGATTAGTTGATCGCATCGCGATGAACAACCATCTTGATCCTGTCTCGGATCGTGCATTTAGATGGTAGTTCGGGGTTCACGGCGACCCCATTCTCACATAGTGTCATCCGCCTGCTCGCCTATCTTGGCGTTTTCGTCCTTGCTGTCGGGAGGGTCCCCTCGCTCTGTCGTCAGGGACCCGGAGCGGCGCGTGTAGGCTGTAGGTCGTGAAAACCAGTTAACAACTCGTGTGCGAGGCCATCGGCGAATTCGCCTAGCGTACCGGCGGTCTCGAAAATGACGGGCGAAACTTCTTCGCTATGCGATTACAGCGCGCGCTCGCTTGATGCACTTCCCGACAGTTGTGTGGGTAGGACTTCATCCTTTCCCGTTTCCTTGAATGTCATTCTCCTCGAAGTACGCTCGTGATCATCATGATTAAACGATCACAGTGATGACTGGTACCTTGTGCGCGAGAAGAGGGGTCGTAGTCGAGCTCCGCCCTTCGGGTGCAGTGTAATATGTCGTGGATCGGCGGCCGTGGCTCATGCCAACAAAATGGGTTGTATATCTCGGTTGCAACTCCCCTTAATTCTTTTTGTTAAATATTTTTGAAGGCGTTCGGGTGGTGCGCACGCACCTTCCCCGTGCGTTTGCTGGCGGGGAGCGCGCATTCGTAAGTCAACCGCAATGACTCGTGGCTCCGAGGGGGCCTGCGGGGTCCCCTCTCTTCGTGTCTCGATGACAGACTAAGTCCTCGTATGGGTACTCCTGCAGCCGCAGTTCGGTTCCCTCTCTCCCAATTAATTTGCTTCCCTTGCGCTGCCCGCTGAGCGGGTATGGCCTTATTTTTTTCTTCGTTCGGAGCACGCGTGGCGTGTCCTTAATCTCCGTAGCAGACAGTCAGCGTAGGCGAAATGACATCACAGAGCCAATATATACAGGGAAAACGGAGCAACCAAAAAGAAAAGAAAAAGAAAGCGGGGAGCGAATTCCGTAGCGAACTTAGAACTGCGTCCTTCGTGTAAAAACAATTGTTAGCGTATTCGTGAAGGGCTGTTAGTTCTCCTCAAACGACGGCGGAGGTTGTTAGCAATGCAGGTGTGTATCGCGACACGAGTGAGCGGCAACGGGTAAAGGTAGATCATATGTCATATTGACGAGGCGTGTACGGTTGAGTGTCCACACATGTTTTGCAATGCCATCGACTGTTTTCTATGACAAGAATTGTCAACGGGTCTTTGCTGAGGCGAGGACCTCCCTTCAAGACGAATGGCCCTTCTTTCTTTAGTCCCCCCTTATAGAGAGGTGTGTTTTCAAACAAATGCTTCTCGATCCAGGGAAGTGTGACACCTTCGATGGACGCGTGCGTACTTGGGTGTGTGCCATCATTTCGGGGTTGCAAAAAAAAGACATTGCCCCTTTGGAAAACCCTCTAGCTCAACGAGCGTTTTCCCCTCCTTATTTCGAACCCTTCCGACACACTAGGGGTGTGTCCTGCGTCAGCTCTGCGTCCTAATTGCTGGTTTGGCATTAATTATACTCTTTTCGACGAAGTTTGATGCTGCTCATGTACAGGTTGTGTCATTGCAACAGACATCGTCGGTGTAATCCCCATTTGAAAGAAGCACGTCCGTAAAGAACACGAACAATACTCCGTGGTCGATGTGTTTCAACTGTAGTCCTTCGTTGCCCCTTTCTCCCCGAGAATACTAATTTTCGCGTATGCGAAAGGTGGGGGTCGTTTGGATTGGCGCTCCCGACGGGATTTGCCGTCGTATCAATCTGTAGTTGCGCACCATCTTCTCTCGGGCTCCTGACGGGTGCAATTTCCTTCTCCTCCTCGTCCGTCTATCGATTTGCCTTGGGATCTTGTTGATCGAAGTCCACGATACGCGGTCGCGTCGCCAGAGTCCTGCGACAACAAAAAGAAATAAGATAAAATAGAATAGAGTAAAACAGAACAGAAAAGAGGGAAAGAAAAGAAACAAGGAAAAGACAGAGTTGAAGAGAAATCATGATGGGTAAGTGCTAAGTAGACCGTCCTGAACAAAAGATAATAGGACCGATTGTGAGCGTCGACGTCGGTCACCGCGGGTGAATTCGTAGCTGCGCTCTTCTGAGGGTGGTCCCTTTGGACGAGTCTTCGTGCTCGGCGAGCATGGGCAGTGTGTTAGCAGGGAGTGTGACGATCGGCTTGGTGTGAGGCCAGGTGGGGCTTGGCTGCAGGGCGACTTAGAATAATTATGTCGCCGACTGTGGCAAACGATCACCACTTATCGTGCGTACTGCAGCTGCCGCAATTTTTCCTGCTTTTTGATTATAATTTCACAGCATGGCTGGAATCGACTTCTCACTTGTGTCGCCTGTTCAGCGGGTTGTTGTCAACACGCTTACATATGTATATATAATTTGATTTCATCATCCCCCCCCACGAGGGCGGACCGTCCGTTCGAAACGTCATTTCTCGTGCGTACCGTGATGAAGCGTGTGTGTTTTCCGAGAGGCTCAATGCCTCATCCAAGGATACAGTCTCGCTTCTCTGCCTTGCTCTCCTTTCCTTCAAACTCCTTATCTGCGAACCCCGTAGATGTGTTCCTTTCTCGAAGTTCTGACCTCTCTGTTGTCTCTAACCTACTAATTCTATTTACGATGGCTATCCCGGTTGTGCGTGCGACGCTTGCGTGGGTAAGGGTAGCCTTTTCCTTCGGAAATATGTGACTACCGCGCT